TGAAAACCCGATCTTTACGATTGAAGAAATTTCACTCTAAAACGTCTAGTCCCTAGTTTCCGACTGTGGGTTGGAAATCTTCACTCGAATGGAGTGAATTTTCACTCTTTGGAATTTAGAGAGTGAATTTACACAGGTACCATTTTCTAAGAAAGAAAATAATTTCTATTTGTCTTGCATTAAAAGAAAAGGATTCGGAAAAGAAAGAACATTGGCAGGAAATCAACCAGTGTGTCAGGTAAATTACCCATGAGCAAACCTGGAAGGGAACTGAAAAAAAAGGAATAATTTGTTCACAAAGATTGTCTATTATATGAAAGGAGTCACTGTAAAGGTTTTTCTTTTACAATGAAATTCTTTGTAATGAATATTTCACTCTGAAACTTTAGAAAAATTTGCAGTCTTTGCAAATCCAGAGAATTTTTGTGGCACATTTCCGTACTTATCAATCCCCCTCCCAAAAAAATCATACTGAGTAAACGAGGCATCAATATCACAAATACATGAACCTGAACATGCTGAACATCAACCTGAAAGGAAATTCAGTATTACAGGTATAGCAAATTGGGGATATCTCAAATTAGACTGTCTTAACTAAAACGCTCAGAGGGCATGGCCCAACTTTGGTCCCCGTAGCCGAGGCCCTTCCCCTTGCAAGAAACTATATAGCCACCATCTTGGCTCCCTCGTTGAAAAGGACGGAAGACGTATTAGAAGAAAAGTACAAATTTAGAACGGTGATGTTGCCGCCTTGAAACAGAATACTTCCTTATTGCGTTAGGTTAGAATTCTGTACCTTGGTTGAGTGCCAGATGATATTATGTTGCGCACTACAGCTCACAACTGTACACGGCAATCAGTCAGGTTTTATCAGTTCATACGAGGAGCTGTTTTATAAAACTACCTAGTTTCAACATTCACAACATTAAACCCGTCTATTTTGTCACTCATTATGCAGTATTTGAAGTGTTATAATGATGCAAATATATGTTCTCAAAAGGCTTCTTTATTGGCAAATGCACCACTTCACGAAGTCAACAATTTCTCTGCTGTCAAAGGACATGTAAACATCACAAACCTAAAAAAACAAAATTGTTCACCAAAATTAAAATAAATTGATCAAAGTAATCTTACAGAGCACAACTTAATTGAAGTGACCACACTAACGTCCAGCTTTCTTTAGGTACATTAGCTACAGACCTATCTCACAAGAATAATGTTCATGAAACTAAATTTTCCAACAAACAATTCTTTGTCCTTCCAAATTCTCTTTTATATGAGATATCTTGCCCCTATTACCGTTTTTAACTTCTGGGAAGTGTGATAATATAAAAATCAAAACCCTCCAAGTGCTGCAGCCGAGCCGTAATTCAATTTTTGTAACACAGGTGGTAGCGTCATTAGCAGCGGTACACCTTTGGGCCTCAATTTGGTCACCATGGGGGGTCGAAACAGACACCCTATTCTGCTTTACAAACAAAAGAAACGCCGTTTGGCCAACTCTGGCAAGAGACAATTTAAAAGTCATGAATTTACAAAGACATTGACCTATATTGAAATATGCACATGCTTCTGACATTTTTGTATTGTGTAGAATTTTGCATTCTGACCCCCAAGATAAAAAGTAAACGGGAAAATAAAATTTAAAAACATAAAATACTAAAGTAAAGTTACTATACGTGTACTGTAGCACAAACCTTCAAAGCACAGAACTAATAGATTTTTTGTTTTCACAAAAATATGTCGTCATTATTCTGGGAAACTGGATAAACGTTTTCGCATCAGGTTTAAAATTAGCCACAATTTTCTGACAAAAAGTGTTAATTACTGATGAAGGAACTATACTTCAAATCCCTAAACTATTCTTGACAAACCACATGCAGAAAAATGTACTGTACACAGTACAGAAAATTATACACAAAAACATTCTGGGACCGGCCACCATTACACACAGAAGATCAGAACTCCTTTTGAAAAAAGTATTTCACATGTTCATGCTTTCTGAAATAATTGAATGGTCAACAAGTTCAATGGCCGACTTTCTTTTTTCAGAATTTGACCGCCATTTCTCCCCTCTCCTTATACCAACCAATGAAAGAAGCCTCCCTCCTAGATTAACAACATGCATCCACGAAAACCTTTTTTTTAACCTTCAAGAAACTCTCAGAACTAATGTGAAAAGCCAGTGCTATGTTTTTTGGTCCAATTTGTGCATTTTTAAATACACCTCACCGTGTGGTAATGAACAGGTTTTTTTTTTTTAAGTTAGAGATGAAATAATGAGTACAATAAAATGTACGTGTATAGCTTCCCTCTTTGGGGCAAAAGGAGGTCAATTCTCTTGATGAGCAACTCAGGGGGTAAAACTCTGAGCTATATTTAGACTCCTGAGTAACATCTCGACAATGGCCCGCTTTGATTGGCGTTTCTGTTCCTTGCTCCATGGTGTTATAGAAGTAATGCTCATATGGGTCTGTGGTTTGGTAGGCTAGTCTAAAACATCAACCGCAGGGATTCTTTTCATAGAACCATTAAAGGGCAATAATGTCCATGTTACACTCAAACATATTTTGTGCACACATTCATTCCTCTGAAGTGTATGAAAACTGTTGAGACATCCCGTTTTGGTTAAAAAAAAATTGTGAAATACCGTTCTTGTCTGTTCCTTGCACGCTCTATGCATTTACAATGTTGAATCTTTTTCCTGACAACTGAGGGCGCTATTGTTATATGAGCTAGATACACACTCCTCGTTTTATATTAGGGATTTTCTGTTCAAGCTGGGAACTCTGCTTTAAAATTGTGCATAAAGTTTATTCGTTTACTTATAGTCATTAAGTGAAACAAAACCAAAATTCTGACAACTTTTAATACTGCAGCAGCTGTAATTCGCTTAAACGTTTTGCTCACAAACATTAAGTTCTCGCTAGCATAAGAACCATGCAGAAAGAAAGGCACCAAGCACCCTTGAAAATGACAAGATAGAGAGTGGACATCAATTGAAATTGGTCACAAATGGTGCATTTTTAAGGATTGAATTTAATTTTTTTTTGTCGTATATGGTAGCCCTTTAAGTCTATGGTAATGAATGGAGCTCTAAGTATAAAGCACTTTTGCGCTGTGGAAGTACCGTCTGCGGTTGAAACCTCTGGTGACATGGCGATCTCTGTAGCTTCAACGATCCAAAAAATGTAGAATAAAAGTTGCATGCCACTATTGTGCAACGGTGTTGGTTTAGTTCCTTAGGGAGCTTTTGTTCATTAATGTTAAATAATGTACTCCAAATGACAAAGGAATTGACTCATGGTTCTTTTCTAGTCTTCGACACCTGCAGGGGACTTTCTGAATGTGGTTTGAAGAAAATGAAACTTGCTGACGAAATTCTTGTTTTGCCGGAGTTTATAACAATAAGTCTATTGGTCTTGAATGCCCATGGTGATTTTTTGTTAAAGAAACTTGAACAATAATTGGTTTGATTACTCATCTAGTTGTAAGAAATGAAGTTGCTTGTGACATTGTTGTTGTGCTGAGGTGTTGGACAAACAAAGAGCACAAAACAACATATTGTATTCAAAGTGGGCAGTAAATTTGTGGCGTATGATGCAGAGGTATTTGTCTAGGATTTGTGAGTTGGCAGCCATTGTACAGGTATGGCTTATTTCATTTGAATGAGCTCAGATTAGTGCTTTGCCAACCAAACCATCTTATTTTGGGTGACTTTGTATTGGGGGGGATGTTTTCTTCATCCTTTTGACTGCCATTTGAAAATGTTTGACTGGTGTTTGAAAGTTATTTAAGTTTGAAACGTACGACTACACTGGCTAATAAATCATTTTTTTCCCAATTTATTGAAAAGATTGCCACTCTGCATCTGTTGGCTTGACTTGCACGGATCGAGAATGTATAGAATTTGAGACTTGGAACCGCATGTTATTGTACATGATGTACTTTACTCGTGAACTATTCAAACTGGTACTGTCATTTTTTTGTGTGAAGCAGTCAATTTTCTTACATCTATTATTAATAGACACAATTACAGAACCAGATTTTCACACTAGAGTTCACCTTGTTGGACAATTTGTCTGACTTTTTGCCTGGAAAATTCAGAACACAACTTTTCAAAACAATTTACATGATGCCTGAAGTGGTTTCTGCATGTTTGTCACCAAGTGCATTATGCATGTGTTCTGCGTTTGAAAAGCTGATAGGGTTTCGAAAATGCAGACACCACAGGGCACAAGTTCAAACCACATTTAGCACTATTCAAAGAGCCACTGAAAAAAGTTTTTTTTGGTTTTACATGACTCAATTTTGAACGCTTGACAACTGTATTTCATATATCAGATCCTCCTTTATTAATAAAATCTTCCAAGAATGAAACATGGACCAACACATCTAAAAATCTTGCCAGTCAAGTAGATGCTTAAAGAGTATTACTTCAGTCTTAAAAATTGGAACTTTCCAAACATTCCTACTTTTGAGACTCACAAACATTGAAGTATAAGACCCCATGAAAAATGAACTGCATTGCGGAACATGAATGTTAGAAAATGATGATGAGGAAATGAAATAAAAGAATTCCAACAAAATTTTTAACAGGAAATTAAATGTATGCCACTTGGAATACCTCATTCAAACCGAAGAGGCACATAATATGAAATTGAATTATTTAATACAAATGTCGGGCACAGAAGGAATAAGATTGTTCTCTGAGTTTCTCCAATGCCAATTTAAACAAATTCAAATTTGAAACTTCCTGTAGTAAAAAAACAACTCTCCATTTACAATTATTTTTAGTACAAATTGAAGTACCATTTTTAGTACCATTTGAAGGAAAAAGGTAGTTACAAACTAAAAAATGGGCCAAAATTACTGCTTTTCATGAGCCATGCAGAAATGAACGAGAAAAAATTATATCGTAAGAGTTTATGGCTAGGAAGAAACTGCCAATTGACAGTAGGGGGCGCTGTTTATACCAGAGACACTGCGCTTCAAAGAGATGTGATAACTTGGAGCTAGTTCGATCAGCAATTTATTTAAAATTCTTGTCAGAAATCACACTACATATTATTTGATTCAATAAGAACGTTTGTCAAGGGACTGTCAAATCTCTGTCAACAGAGGGCAGCAAACACATTTTTTGGTCTATTTTTGTAATGGCAAAGGGTTGGCTGCTTTTATCATCAGCATTTTACATTTTACTGAAATTCCAAATTCTATTCCCCTGAACTAAATAAATCAGATAAATCTAATCCCCCCCCCCCCCCCGCCCCCACAATAAATAAATAATCAATTACATACACAAATCATTACAAATCACATTGAAAAAATGATTTCGCTAATTATAATTTATACAACAAAGAAATGACTAGAAAGGGATTGAAACCTGTGACCTTCAGAACAATGAATGGCGTACCGAAGTGTGACGTCATTTAGAACCAGAAAGTGTAGTGCAAACGAATGGAGCATGCGCGTATGTTGGTTCACGGGCTGAATCACGCGCTGATGTCTTTCACACACATTTTGTGCGCGTGACGTATTCACTTCGGTACTCCATTAAGATTAATTTCAAGATTGTTTTTTTTTCCAAAGAAATCCCTGCTTTTTGCAAGTGGCTTTTTATTGTACTGTACGTACCGTGTACAGCGAATAGCGCCACCTATTGTCTGACACTGACAGCAGCCCCCCCCCCCTTGATTAGCAGGAGGCCAAGTGACCGATGAAAAAATTGTCTACTTATCAGAACAGATGAAATTGGGAGCCCCCCCCCCCCATGAGAACCAAGGTTACCCCGCTCGTCTCCAGTACATTATTAAGAGCACTTTAGCCATCTTTAAACAAGAATCAAAGCGTGATCAAATTGAATGAATAATGACAAGATTAGCTACATGATTTCACATTGCAATTTCCACATTTCCCCCTCCCCCTCAAAATCGAACATGAAACACTGGGATTTTCAAACCTTTCACATTCAATACAGGGTGTCTATAACACCACTCTGACTACCAACATGCATAGAGTGACATATCAGTAAGAGAAAAATTAAATAAATATATTTTAGAGTTTAGAAAATTTCAAAGGGCTGCTAAGCAGAGAAAGCAGAGATTAGAAAAGTTTTTGATGTCTTGGCCCTCTGCAAATAAGCCAGTTCGGTATTCCAAAATAGTCTGGTGCACAACAAGATTCAACAAATTTTTTTTTCGGGATAAACGCGGCAGATAAATGCACACAAGGCTATGGGGGACGTGCGGTCGAAACGAGACGGAAACTTACGTTTGCACAAAAGTTTGGACACTCAAGACGCTAAAATACTTCGCTGTCCAAACGTTTTGTTTTTGCAAAATGTTACGTCGGAACACGATGATCTCTTCATTTTTGCTGGTACCCCGCTATGCTTTTGCATGCATACGATAAATGTTTATCCCGAAAGAATAATTGTCAAATCTTGATGTGCACATGCACAGTTGGAATACAGAACTGGCTTACTGGCTTGGCTCTCTGCCAATTGGCTTGGCTCTCTGCCAACTGGCTTGGCTCTCTGCCAACTGGCTTGGCTCTCTGCCAACTGGCTTAGCAGGTTTTCTTCCGCTTAGCAGCTCTCTGAAGTTCAGCCCCACGGTCACCTTATACTTTGAGCAGCATGGGTGGGATGAGGAAATCCGCTACTTCTTTGCCTTTGAGCGCCTCTACCAGGGCCAGGGCAAACTCGAAGGCGGTACCCGGCCCTCGGCTGGTGATCAGGTTGCCGTCCTGTACCACACGCTCCTCCGAGTACCTGTAGATCCCTGCAAAGGAAGTGACGAGACAAAACAATAAATACAACAGTGTGTATCACAATGAGGAATTCCTTGATGGCCGCTGTTGTCTCCAAGTACAAAGATTGCTCACCTGCTGCCACAATCTTGTCTTTGACTGCAGGATGTGAGGTCAGTGTCTTGCCCTTTGCAATGCCGTGGCTAAGAAGTGCTATCGGAGCTGGTGGAAAAAAAACACATAAATAGCTATAAGACTTAAGATAAAGTAGAAAGGTAACACCATGTGGAAAAAAATCTCTTCTTGAAAGAAGTGTAAATCTGAAAAGAACCAGTTGGTTGAGTGTAGAACTTGACATTTCAGCATCCAGTCACACCCCACTGCACACACACAGCCATAAAACCTCCAGCATCTTCCACATCTCATCACTCACCCTCCTGAGGACGGGCAGAGCACACTGTCCGAAACATCGAGTTCTACACTCAACCAACCGGTTCTTTTCAGGGGGCCGTATCATAAGTCCGACGCCTCATAGGTCCGACGCCTCAAAAGTCCGCAATTTCGGACTTATGAGGCGTCGGACTTGTGAGGCATAAAATTTATTTATTCCACCTCATAGGTCCGACGCCTCATAAGTCTGACGCCTCAAAAGTCCGACAACGGAAAAACGAGGCATTTAATTTGTCGGACTTACGAGGCGTCGGAGCTATGAGGCGTCGGAGCTATGAGGCGTCGGACTTATGGGCCTTTATTTGGTTAGGGGATGCTATTTTGTCGGACATATGAGGCGTCGGACTTATGAGCGGACCCCCTTTTCAGAACCACACTTCTTCTAAGAAGAGATTACTTTCCACATGGTGTTACCCGCAATCTTGCATGATTCCTGGAACAAAACTAGCGGATGTCATAAATGGACCAGTTTGGTTACATATGTATGAGGTAATTAAGTAGATCATTTTTAGCCACACACCTGCACAGATTGCAGCAACTATCTTTCCTCCGCTCTCGTGGGCCTTCAGTATTTCACCAACTTTTTCTGACTGCAAAATGAAATTGTCACATAAAGTGTATCACATTTTTCAATGTAATGTTGCTTGTAAACCGTGTTCGATATATGAAATCCATGTTTTGTACGTGGGTAACTCCAGCATGATGTAAAGTCCGTAACAGAGCTTTTTAAGAGCTCAGTGAATAAACCTCAACATGTTTTTTTCTAATCTTTTTCATTTATTATCTAGTAATGGACAAGGGGATTTACAGACCAGGCGTTTTGGATCATTTCGGTAAATTTTTAATTTGAAATCATGGTTTATTTGCTCTGTTACGGACATGACATTGCCTTTCATAACACTGGAATTTCCCACAAGATCGTAAGTTCCACACTCAGCACAGACAAATAGACTTTAATTTGAAAATTTGTTCTCACTTGAACTGCTTGAATTTATACTCCTGGGTAGAGAGAGGCAATTGTTGTAAAGTGTATTGCTCAAGGGCACAAGCACCATGTTCCAAACCACACTACAGCGGCTGGGATAAAAAGTACTGACTCCTTCAAAATATTTAACCACATTTGTGGATTGTGTACATTTTCATGATTAACATGCGACTGATTTTGGTTGCAAATTACACAACTTGACGTCTCACCCCAGCCAGATTTTGAGCTCCCCCGTTGCCTCCAGGCATGATGACAACATCGTACAGTCCCTGGAAACCAAACAGAAAACGATCATTAAAAATTCTTGATTGTTGTTGTCCAAGCTTGTTATTTCATTGATAACATTTGGTACGAGGGCACAATGTTTTGGAGAGTGCCGAAGCCTCACGGTCTGGTTCATCAAACTTTCAAAATCTTGTTGGCAATTCTGCAGGTTGTGGGTTTGAGTAAACCCTGCAAGAGAGTTTTGTGAGTCCTTTGGCTAGACACTTTGATAGTAAGTCTGCCCTGAATACTGCAAAAGGCATGATGCAGTGCAATGTACTTAAAGATATAGTCCATCATTTGTAATTTGTGCAAAATAACAAAACGAACTACTAATTTAAATTTCCTACGGTGCGTCTTTAAGACCTGGAAAGGCCTTCTTTCATTGATTACTTCAAAATGACAGCTTTCCAGAAAGAATAATTTCACAGGGAGTTTAGTCCACTTACTATCTTTCAACCAAGTATGTTTTTCAACAATAATTACGCCAGTTACTTTTCAGATGGCTTCAAATGATGGACTATAGCTTTAAAATCTGCTTTAATTAATGATACTTCAATCAAACCTGCATACCTGCTTGGCTGCCTCTTCCAAGCTTTTATCGGGGACGATGACAACATTGCGACTGCATGTGATTGGTTCAGTGCCAGACAACCCAGCAACTGTCACACTGATCTGTGCAAAACAAAACAACAGGAAGTCTAGTCAACTGCATTCTCATCAGATGAAAGTTTTACATTGAATTTTTATCATAAAAATAAAAATGAATAAAACTGCTGCAAACTGCCAACTGCATGACCTGAAATATACAAATTATTCTTGTTTAGTTTATTTTAAATTGTGTTGTACTAAAACTTTTAGAGAAATGCCCAAATTAGATATTGGTCATATTAAGTTGATCCCCTGATAATTGCATTAAAAAAAAGTAATTTGCATAATTGCAGGATTTTACTACACTTAATATTTTTTGAAGTTGAATAAAATAATGCAAAGCCTACTTATATCTGTATTTAGTAGTAGACTTTGAATTAGTCCGAGTAACTTGAACCCAACTCATCGCCAGACCATGTCCGAATGTTAAAAAAGGCGATAAGTTGGGTCCAAGTTACACGGACTAACTTAGAATAAGCCTTTTCACAATTTCAACTAAGCATGCGCACAACAGAAGTTGACAATTTATTTATGGGAGATAAACAAAGCAGATGAATGCACACAAGTCTATGGGTTCGCGGCAATCAAATCCACAATGTTTCATGTAATCGGAAAGAAGATGGAAAGTTTTGTTTGCACAAAAGATGGAGCAAACAATACATCTCAAACAATGGTGTCGCAAAAAAAAAATCAAAATTTTGCATTTAGGCCTACCCTTCAAAACAAGAACTTTTCTTTGATTATAGTTGGTGCCCGCACGCGTGTGCCATGTGGGGAACTGTTTATCTCTGGAAACAAAATTGTAAATCATGATGATGTGTGCATGTAGTCCGAGTACTTTGGACCCAACTTATCGCCTTTTTAACATTCAGACATGGTCTGGCGATGTTAAAAAGGCGATAAGTTGGGTCCAAGTTACTCGGACTATTGCGCATGTACGTATGTTGAAATTGTGAAAGGCTTATTGAATTTTGTACACAATCATCACTTTGTATTTAGGCCTATAGCCTCATAAATGTGTCAAATTTTAACTGGACTACCTCCGTAAATAAGTTTGATTTACTCCAGTAAATTGGCCGCATTGATGGCTAATCACATTGTACTTCCAGAATTAGAAGGCACTTCTCGTTAAGAGAGGTGCCTTCTATTTCTAGAAGTAATCTCATTGGTGTCAATAAATATATATCGATCAAAATTAAGCTTAAAATCTGGTCGAGTTGGTCAGCTCAGAAGTTTGTTAGCAAAGGGGCGTGTCTTTCATTTTCAAGAGGCGATTACTTAGACCTCCAAAAGCATTGGAACTAACTTGAGCCCGTCGCAACACATCGACAGAAATAACCATCTCCATTTCCTCGGCTCCCGCCGCCAAAATCAACAGCGCAGACATCCTGCTTGTCAGTGAGCTCGATCTACGCCTCGTATCCGTCGATTCTGTGGTAACAGAACCGCCGATTCCTGCGTTTTGATGACTGTTGTAGAGAGAGGGTATATCCGAAAATCGGCCAGATAACGCTACTGCAGCCTTCATGACATTGACTGCTAGTGCAAGGCGCATTATTTACTTTGCGTATGCGTGTACATAGTCGATACACAGCGCGTTCAATAATATAATGAGTGCACACTGTACTTCCGGTAAAATGACACTTGACACGTGCTACTTTCACCTGGTCAAAGTTCATGTTTATTTTCAAACGCATGTGTATTGTCATCTCATGAATATTCATAATTTAGATTTTCTCAATTTTCGGCATGTTCACGGACCGTAACATACAAAAAGGACATTATTTCTGAATCATGGGATTGCTGTTATCTGAAAACGGGCAAATTTGGGGCGAAAAATCTGTTATTTTGATTTACAACCGTTCCGCCGACAGAGGGCGCGTGACTGTTGATATGATGATCGTTTTTTTCGCGTTCCCTAGAAACCACGCGCAAGCGCACTCGGACAATGAATAAATACCGGTCATACTAAACAGCGTCAACACAGCGTCAACACACTCCAAAGCGTCAACACAGCGTCAACACAGCGTCAACACATCCAAAATGCATTAAAATTGACAAAAGCAGTATTTAACCCATAGAGTATGGACAGAAACAAGATTTGTGCTTAAACTCAATAGGTTAAACGTCTGAAAATCGCGATTTTTAGTTCAAGAAAATTGGCTCTCCGTGCCGCTCCGAAATCGGCTGCCGAACACCCGCCATGTTGCCTCAGTGGCAGCACGGACCATACCATTATTCTAAAGGGTGATAGCGTTGTACAATAAACCAACAGAGAGGGACGCGGCCGGGGTCGCCAGTGTTAAAAATATCTGCAAAGACTAACAATTTAATGCTGTGTTTACGCTGCAATTGCCTTTGTTGTTTAATTTTCTTTACTTGCTCGTTGGTATTTACATTATTGTATAATATTGCAAGACAAGATAATGTCATTACCTACACACCCCTACTTGAAATGGTGTAGTCCAAGCTTTGTGCGAAGTCAAGATGGCGGACAACGGCCGTGCAAGTTAAGGTCATTTTTTTCGCGTGAAAATACGATAATTTTAACAACGAAATGGAAACTCAATCCAATGGAAATTCTCTTTTATTGTATGTTTCACAATTATATGCCCTTTTTGTCAATTCAGAATGTGTTTTGGATGTGTTGACGGTGTGTTGACGCTTCTGTCATGTGTTGACGCTGTGTTGACGCTGTGTTGACGCTGTTTAGTGCGACCCATAAATACCAGTCAATTAATTTTGTGAACAGGTGAATTCGGGTAACGTAGCAGTGTTTTACACCCGGATTAACAGTATTTTGCTGGAAATCTGGACGGAACAAAAATGAAACAAAAGGATAACTGCCTCAGAGAAGCTTCAGTGATTCATCTGCAGGAGTAATTGTGGTGTTAGTCGAATTTTCGTCAAAGAATTTTCAGCTCTTTTCGTGCAATAAATTTTGCAAAAATAAAACTGCCTGCAAAAATGGTGAAGGGTTTTCTGAAGAGCTCGGAGGGTATTTTTCAACTCTCTCCTGGAGTGACAGTTATAGGAAGAGAAAACTGTGACCTTGTGATTGAGGTAAGTATAGACACGAGAAAATTGAAACTGAAAGACTTTTTTAATTAAATGGAGCTCCTTTAATGTCTTTACAATTTTAAACGAAAATGTTTTCAGCGAAACTAAATGAGCACTTGATAAGCAGCTTAACAACTTGATTCCAGCCGGAATCAAGTCAGTCCTGATTCTTGAAACATGGTAAAAACGAAAAATGTTTGATTGTTTTAACCATACATCCTGAGCCAATTGCAGGCAACTGCAGTAAAATCTTATTCTTCACTAATTCTAATCTGTTAGTGTTAGGTAATGTTTCATTTTATTTTTAATATTAATATTTTAATTTAAATACAAATTAGGCCTAGGCCTACAATTTTTTTTTGGCTGCAAACAAAAACACATTAAAAACAAACAAATAAACAAACAAACAAACAGAAAAGGCAGTTGCCTACATCAGCAATGTCAACATGGTCTGTTTTAGTTTGTTCTCAGTTGCTTTTTAGGTTGAATACATTATTTTGTTATTAACGGGCGTGTAACGTTTCCTCCAACAAGCTGATTTCCTCTTTTTTTTCACTTCACACGTATGCCATGAGAAATTGAAAAACACTGTATAAAATCTTGTATTTTATCATAAAGCTTGGAATTTCTTCTTTTTTTTTTGCTACTTTCAATTTGCATGCCAGTATTACAAAGTTTCCTTAATACTGCGAAGGGCAGTGTTATTTTCATAACATAAAATTCCTTACATTTAACATAAAACTTTCAAAAAAGAACTTTTTGAGAATTCAGATTAAAATCACATTATATTCATATTTCTCCTCATCTCCAGTCGCCCACCGTAGAAGTCCAGCATGCCGTCATTGAGTACAGTGACAGTGAGTCCTGCTACGTTCTGCAAGATCTGAACACAGCGCATGGGACGTATGTCAACGACTGCCGGGTCCAGAATGCCGCCGTGCGATTGGCTCCTGGTGACATCATCCGGTTTTCCTATTCCGGGTTCCCAATGGAGCTGGACGTGGAAGACGCCCCTCAGGTAAAAAGTGGTGACTCAGTAGGCCTAGGCCTAGTATGGATTCTTTTTCTTTGACAAACTGCATTGGTGTTAATCCCTATGAATGCAAGGTCAAAATCTGGTAGAAAGGTTGACGGCTCCTTTGGATACAAAAGAATCAGGAAATGAGTTGAAAAAATGGAAGAATCCATCTTGGAAAATTCGCCATCTTATACTTATAGAAAGAAGAAAAAAAAGGCCGCCTCCTCTCTTTTGTGTGAGTTTCTTCCATCAGGACGCCATCTAAGATGCCCTCCATGTAAAACCAACGGAAGGAAGTTCTCGTTCATCCCAGTGGCTTTTAGACTTATACACAACTGATAATTGTTTGTATTTTTAGGTCCATCATTTTACTTGTCATTTCATTTCATTTGATTCCTTTTTGTAATGCAACAATTGAACAGAAGGAGGGTATCATTATCATTATTTGAGTTGTCATTACTCCAGTGGCCATTAGACCATAAAATAATGGATATATCTGCATTTTATAGGTCCATCATTTTAAGTTTAATTTTTTTACTTGCCATTTTACATTTTATGTCATCATCATTCATCGTCTAATTATTGTTTATATAGTTATATTAAGATATTATGTTTTTAGAGAAGTTTTACACAAATTTTAATCAAGATAAGTACATGTTGTTCGTGATTGTTTTAAGTTTTATATATTTACTCAACTTGTAATTTACTTAGTGTTTTTAATGAGCTGTCCAACCATATGCAATTGCCTTTTCAAGGATAAATACATGTATTTTGAATTGAATTGAATTTTTGAAAAAGCCAAGACGAGAAACTATTTTAAAGAGCTTGCTTGAAGAACTTCACCAGCTTACTTGGATGAACTCAAATCTCCAACCTCCTAGTCTTACAAGAAGATCACTATCTTTGCTGGAATAGGCTGACTGATTTGAATCAGTTATTGCAGTTGATGCTTGAATTCTGAACCATGTATTTCTGAATGTCCTCAGCAGGTGTCCTACCCACCAGTCCAGCAGCGTCCAGCCTGGAGCTCCCCCTTACAGGTCATCAACACCCGCATCCCCATCACGGGCACCCAACAGCAGCAACAACTGCCCCACCTTGCCAACCTCACCGACTCCGCCTACCCGGCCGGCAGCGGCCAGTCACAGCTGCCCTTGATTCCCACGGCCCCGCCTGCTGCCACCCAGTCTCAGTCAACCTGGGCCACGCCTACCACCACGGCCAACGTGGTCATCCCGAGACCGCCCAGGCCTCGACCCAGCAGCGCTGGGACACGCAGGGGTAGCAGTGGCAGCCCGATCGTCAATAACAGCCCCACGAACAGCCCTCTGCCTCCAAGAAGAGGTTTGTTGTAACAATCTCTCTATGACTTGGCTTATATACCAGATAATTAAGTATAGGTCTCTGGCAAAAACGGCCATCTCTGTAGAAGAACTGCAACTGCGTATTTTAAGCACGCTTTGCGCAGTGTTGAAAATCTTCCAAACATGCGCGTATGTTGCTCGAAATGTGTTTGAAATACGACACAGCCGATGCGCGTAATGCAAGTTGACGCTCAAAATGCCGATGCGCGAAATGACGACACATAGGAAATGACGGCATTCGAGAGACACCTAAGTGAGGCATATTCAGTTTTACCAAGACACTGGCAATCTTTGTGACTGATTTGATTCTATATTTCCTTTGGTCATTTGTAGTGACCAGTGGTTGGGTGAGTACGGCCGGAGCCAGGACAGTGGTCACTTCACAGCAAGGGTCGGGCAGCCCGGGGACCCGGGCATCCCCAGTCAACGAGATGGTAGTACTGCACGAAAAGGTAGAGGGAAAATTCTACTTTTCTGTTCCTTTTGTTAGAGTAGTATACTTTACAATGGGCATGGTTCATGTTTTACAAAATATTAATGTTTCCACAAGAATGGGCGCCATGCACAATGCCAAAAAAATATATATAAAAAAATAGCTAGCTATTCTGACAGCCCCTACCCTAATTTTTTTATGGGAAAAATGAGAAAAAAAACCACCCCCAAAACATCAATTTCTACCTTTTACCCTTGACTACATGCAGACGCCTCCATATGATCGTACAAAAAAAATTAGGCCCCCCAAAAAAATTCCCTACCTACCCTATTTTCGAATGCGATGTGTCGCAAATATTATTGTAAATATGTTTGCAAATATTTGCAAAACTATTTGCAAAGATGTTTGCAATGTGTGATGTCCCTTTAGTGCCACCATACTTAATGGAGCAGACCCTCAATTGAGGAAGAAAAATTGCCACTGTTCTAGTTCTAGCCCAGGTTTTAAAACTGACCTTCCATAAAAAAAACATCCTTTATAAAACCTTTCTCTCAGCAAGCCTTGTGGAGACCCCAACTCCTTTAGGCCAAAAAAAAAAGTCTCCGGTTTCTGGTATGCGCGCGCGTCGCCGTAGCCATGCGCATCGGCAAAATGAAAAAGTTTTTTTTTCAATACAAGATGATGTTTCAAAACCGCCAAACTCACTGGTTTGACTGGAATTCTGCTGCTGCACAATTTTAACGTGGTTTTAGATGGGGTTATGATCGAGAATAAGATTTATGTGGCCTCTCTGGACTCCCATATATTTGCACTAAGTTTAGTCGGGCACCATTTGCAGTCATCAGCCGACATTTGAAGCCCCCCAAAAAAAAACAGTTAAAAAAAAAAAAAAAGCCGCGTCGCCGCACCACTTTTGGGGCAAGCTCCATACCAGAAACCGGAGACTTTTTTTTTTGGCCTTATATACACTTCTTATCAATTCCGTGTCTATGTATATATAAAGTCTCGTGGATGCAATCTTCAAGTAACAAATCAACTTTTCTTTTCTGGCATCAGGAGCAACGTCTGTTACGCATGGGCGACGAGATCAACCGCCTGGCCGTCTTCGAGTCTGAATCCCTCCGCAAGGATGGCGTCATCGCCCAGCTGAGGGATGAGATGGAAGCCATGGCTGCCGAGCTGCATCAGGGCGTCAGACCCACGGCGAGAGGGGACGCCAACAGCCACACCGTGGCCCTGCAGACCAGGGTGAAGGAACTGGAGGCTGATATACACAAGAAGCAGCTGGAAATCAACGCACTCAAAGAGCAGGTGGGTGGACAGACTTAGATCTTTAGTATTGAAAATAGTGTTGATGAGTCGATCACAAGTGCTCACAAGTCATCCAGGCCCGGAGGTCAGATACCACGCTATCCTAATGAACTATGACACAAGTATTCCTTTGTTATGTTCATCCCCTGTTACCCGTGACTGCATGGACTTGTCTTGTGGCAAAAGTTGCGATGGTCTCAACTACAACACTGAGTGAAGAAACGAACATCCCAAATAGAATCAGGTCAACTCAATTTTTAGGCAATAAAAATTCTCCCCTGTTTTTCAGAATGAAAAATTAGTCCTCCATATTTCTCTAGCAAAATTTGAGGTCACAATTCAAATTTTAAAAGAGAGTTTCTTCAACACTTTACAACAGAGAGTTATTCAGAATTTGAAGCCTTGGACGTGACTGGTGTATGTTCATGTGCATGTCTTTATTTGTATATTTTTGTGTTTATGTTTTGGGCCTTTCAGTACACATTATTGAGAGGCAAGAAATTTTCCAGACAGAATGTGCAAATGACTCATGAACACAAAAAATGACGCTGATATGTGAAACAGTTTAAAGTGGGTGCAGTCACGTCACAGAGAAGAGGCCAGTTATATACAACTCCTCAGCACATAATTTGGCTCAGCGCAGGAAAAATACAATAAGATAGAATAGGTAGCCTGTCAAATTATCATACATGTAGGCTGTGCATAGCTTGTAACTGGTCCCTATCAATTTTTTTTGCTTAGCTCACAGTTTGCCTAACAATATTTTCTTGCTTAGCAGCTCCGTGTGTACTAGCCCTGTTAGGTTAGATAATGGCGTGCAGCACTTTAACAGAGTACTTATGGCAAGAAAACTACTTGTAACTTTTCTTCAAGATGACAAAAATGCGTCCGGAGAGTTCCGATCCCATGGAGAACGTGGCCAACCTGCGCAGCTCCCTCATCCAGAAGGAGCGGGAGCAGACCTCCCTCAAACAAGAAATGGAACGGACCAAGAAGGAGAAGACCACAGCAAATGGGCTGGTGACCACACTGCACAGGGACATGGCCAACCGGGACAATACCATTTGCCGGATGAGGGGGGAGCTGGAGATTGTCAAGAGAGAGTTGAGGGAGAAGGAGGTGTCGCTCTCAGCCATGACAGCCAAGGTATGATAGGTCGTGCCTGAAAGTGGCAGTTTTGGTTACGACTGTGACCTATTTATACACGTCAATATGAATAACTGGAAGCCATGGCCATAAAACAGCCAATCAGAGTCCAACCTAAATTATGATTTCATTTTCTATTGTTGCAGCAATACTTAGCATTCTCTACTTATAGCATGAGTCTGTAAAAGAAAAAAACCAAAAAACCTGTATTAGGCCAAAAAAATAAATAAGTCGGTCTCTGGTCAGCGCGCGTCGATCTGTTTTTTTTTCCAAAATGTTTCGCGGTAGCTCCAACAGCGCCCTCTATTTCCGCACCTCCTCAATTTTTTTTACCAAAGAGCACCAAGGAATGGGAAATTGCACCAAGGCAAATGATCGAAAGCACCAAGGCAAATTATGGAGGACACCAATGTACATGAGGACACCAAAAAAGCAAAATAGTACCCCACCTTGTCTGTACAATCCAAGCTTGAAGAAAAAGAAAAAAAAAGCAAAAAAAAAAAAAAAAAGCCACGTGGCCGCGTCAATTCCGGAACTTTGGTCTGACCAGAGACCGAATATATATTTTTTTTGGCCTTAGAAAGGCACAGTAGAAAATTCCAAACAGGCTCAGTAATTTGCTGTAACAGACAAATTTTGAATTAGCTTTGATACTGAGGCTCTCACTGCTAAGCCATTGTATGAATTGAGGACCTTTTCTTTTTTTAATCCTCTCAACAAAGACAGCCAATTTGAAATTGATCTATTAAGACATTTTGGAACCATTGGCAGTTACCCGAAAACGTACCTACCATATTATGAGAAAAACCTCGCTCAAAGTGAAGATTGGAATGGTACCAAATACCCTGTGAAATGATTTTGTCAGAAATGATTTTGATTGAAAGAAAGAAATAACTGAAGATGATCTTAAAAAGTGTGCGTTAGCAACGGAATCCAGTTACGAGACCCCAAAATTGTACGGATATTTCTTTTTAACTCTCTTATGCAAACATACATTCTGTAGAGAGTCACTGAGCTAAAAGTTCAACAGGTTAGTTGTTATGCATCGTTAGATTACCTAAGCCTTTTTCACACTACAGCTTCTCAACCCGGGTTGAACTCAACCCTGGGCGAACCCAGTGCCGCCCCGGGTTGAGTTTTTCATTTTTCAACCCTGCGTTCAACCCCGCATCGTTTCACACTTGTTTCATGCAAATCAAGCTTATCATGCTCAGTTACTACTGCTTTGAACCCTGGCAAGAATTTCAACCCGGGTTGAAAATCTCCACCCTGGTCTGGGGCAGGGTTGAGTTCAACCCGGGGGCGAAATCTATCTCGGGTTGACACAGGGTTGACGCAGGGTTGAAATTCTTCAAGTGTGAAACGATGCATGTTTGCAACCCTGGGTCAACCCTGAGATTTGTCTAGTGTGAAAAGGGCTCTACAGCTTGAGCAATTTGTGGCCTAAAAAAAAAAGACAAATGTGCGAAGAGCAAATGATGCCATGTACTTAGGAAATGAGAAATCGTTTGGATGTCCACTATCCACATTTTCAGGCTTTAGCCAAATGTTGGAAGGCAGTGGTAACTGTTCCTTAGTCACATCTTCATTACGCTTTTTTGTCATCTCAATAATCTCCCTGTCCTCATCGTTCCCAGTTCTCGAGGTTCCGAGAAAACAAAAAACACGTGGAGGAAATGGCCGCCCGGAACAAGGAACTCATGAGCCTCAAACACGTAAGTCTCTCCCGAGTGCAGTGTGTGGAAACAGAAAAACCCCATTAACGCGGCTTGTTTTCTTGTTCACTAGTTGATGGATTCGGAAGTCGGTAATACTCGGCTGCGAGACGAGCTCTCGCGCAAGGACCGCGAGGTTCTTAGGAGCACCGATGTAAGTTTTAACGTGGCTGTTGCAGGTCATGAGATGTAGATCGCAGCTGACACATGTGCCGTCGCATGCCTAACCCCCTGGCCTTTGTAGACCAACTTTGCAATGGAAAGTCTGTCATCGGTCTCAATTCTAGAAATAGAGTTTGAATTCTAGAAATAGATGTAGCTCCTGACAAATAATAGAACGTGATAGTTGTATGAAAACACTGCTAAAGAAGCACTGAGTAAAACAAGAAAACCTAGTAGAAGCATAACAGAACTGAAATGACCATCACTGCCGAAGAGGACCTAACATTTTAAGTAAAGTGAGTCTGTCAGGCCAGTGTTTTTCTCCGGTTTCCTTGGCACAAAACAACTGAGAATATTTCTATTCCCCCTGGATGGGATGCCAGTCCATCGCAAGTTACTCCCAAGCTAATGCAGGTACCCATTTGTACTCCTGGGTGGAGAGAGACAAGTTAGGGTGAAGTGGCTTGCCCAAGGACACGACATATGACCAGCAGCTGGATTCAAACCCCTGAGTCACGAACCCTATCCGCTAGACCAAACTCCCCTGAACATTTTTGAAGTTGTGGTTTTGAGTTAAACATAAATATCATGCCCTCAACAAATTTGCACTGGTTTAATTCACACAAAAAAAGAATTGAATTTCTTGAAAGTGTAAGTATTCTCTGAGCTGTTACTTCAACAGGTTATTTTATCATTCCGTGTTTTGGTCTTTGAGTGCTGTTGCTTCCAAGCATTGAAAAAAGATAAAATGGTGCTGTGATCTATAAAGTTTATGCTTTTATATTCCACTGTCCACGTTCCATTAGCACCATTTGTTGAATGCTTCTGTGTGTCTTAATTTGCAAAAAAGACAACCAAAAAACGCACACAAAATCCATTAGCAATTTGTTACCTTTGAAAGGAAATACTAAAGATTTGAGATATCTTTTCCGACTTAACTGCTCAAGTTGGCGGCGCAGGACGTTTACAGCATCTTGTTGCATAGTTGGTCCACAAACAGCCATCGTCATCCCATGCATATACTGAGCTAGCATTCATTGCCATTTGTCTCATTGCGAACTGGATGATTGTCGTAGGTCGTGGTCTATTCGGTGCGTGCATGACCGGTAGAGGGGGTGTTGTTCTTATTCCCTGCTTGATGTGAGGCATGTGCTGCTTGAGGTGCTACGCTTTAAAGTTGGTGTTGGTCTGGCAGTTTTCCGTAGATATTACTGACAGAAAAACCTTGGTCATATGCAGTGTACTTCAAGCCGTTATCGGCCAAAATCTATGAAATATTTAGGGTGCATTCGACTATAGCTCACCCAGGTCGACTCAGGCTAGCCCCATGCCATTTAATTAGCTCTGGCGTCATTTCCGTGGCTCACCCAGGCCAGCCACCACAGACTCTGCTCGTGGAGCAGAGTCATTGGTGGAAATGCGTCACATGCATGCGTTGTTCATTCCTCATCAGAGAACATTGACAATGTGCATTTATGGATATAATCCTACACATGTACATGTACTGTTAAAGAGGTTGTGGAATGCTCGAAGACATTTCCGTCATTTTTCGGGTATATGTAGCCTAAGGTGTGATGAAATAAAAACGACTATTGTTTCTGTCATAAAATGAGTACAAAAGGTACTTTTGAGAGCTGTTTTTCAAGTCCTGTCATGCCTGTTTCGACGCGAACCTGCAATTTGTGTAAAAGTCGTCGTTGCGGGCAGCAAACAAAACACAGTAAATCGTGACGTAATAAACAGGACTCGTTTATGCTACTCTGCATCGGGAGTCCTGTTTATTACGTCACGATTTACTGTGTTTTGTTTGCTGCCCGCAACGACGACTTTTACACAAATTGCACGTTGGGGTCGAAACAGGACCTGAAAAATAGCTCTCAAAAGTACCCTTTGTACTCATTTCATGACAGAAACAATAGTCGTTTTTATTTCATCACACCTTAGGCTACATATACCCAAAAAATGACGGAAATGTCTTCGAGCATTCCACAACCTCTTTAATGCATTCAGTACATGCATTACGTCGAAAACATACATCATTTTGCTTAACATATTTTTACAATGCAAAGGCTTTTGTCTTGACTTTGTTTTTTTTGCCTTTTGTCTTTGTGTTAGCTTTAGTAGCCATTGTTTTGTTGCTTATTTTTCTGTTTGTGCGGATTATGAAATTTGTGTTATAGTATTGTGGGAGACATACATGTATGTCCATAGTCTCTGTTATCGTGGGAAAAAAATATTCTTCTTGTTAAATTATTAAAGAAAACTGCTCATTTTACATTTAAACATTGCCTGCTGAACTTTTAGGATTGGTTGTTGGATGCTCCAATTTCATTATTCATTTTTCGCTATAAATTTGTTGGTGTGATTTTCTTTCATTGTTTCATTTCAAAGCTAATATCTTACATAGTTATGAAGCTATATATAGCAATTCGTTTTGAAATTTTGTAGATTAAGTGTTTTTGTATAGTTCTTTTTAAAGTGCCATGGCCCAAAATACAGAAAATTTATTCAGTAGTGACCAGTGAATGCCTGCGTGAAAGCTGACCGACTTGTCAGAATGTTACAACATTTTCAGCAGTTAAGAAAAATGTGGTTAAAATTTGGCAATACACCAATTGCATTAAGCAGCCATCTTTGAGATTTTCCTTTTATTTCAATTCAGTAACAATGAATATACAAAAAAAAATTACTTTGCGTATTCTTGGGTAACAAAAGCGCACCCCTCAAAGATGGCTGCTGTGCAAAGGGTCTATGGAGGTGTGATTCAGGGCAAAATGGACCCCGTGCACGAACAGAGAGGGCGCTTTTTTACCGCCTTTTAGAGTCAAGTTGGAGGGACACACCGCGTGCACTTTCTGGTTCACGTGCGCATAGCGCGAAGTACACACATCCTTTTTCTGAATGAGCACAGAGCCATAGCGTCTTCGTGTGAGCATCAGGCGTCGGCAGCAATGCGTTCCAATGTCTCTTTCAGCGGTCTCCCCCAACTCTCCTTTTCTTACCGTTGAGGGGGTACTTGTGCACGGAGCCCATAGTTTAACCTAACTTACTCATCAAATTGGCTGGCCCTTAATACATTTGAATTCTACACTTCTATGTAAATTTCATCCTATTTGTCACTGCTGCTCATTGCAGAAACTGCGATCGTCTGAAACTCGGGTTGGCGAGCTGACACATGAGATGGAATCTTACAAGCAAGACATTGAGAAGCTGAAGAAACACATCGAGGAAGAAAAAGAGGTTCGTCTACTGAAGAAAAAAAAGTAGTAGAGGGCTGTAAAGGCCTTGGGACTGAGCCAGGAAAAGAAATCAATTTGTTCCTCTTCCATTTATAATTTTATGTCGAAGAAATTGACAACAAGTATGTTTTTCTACAGTTGTAATTGGAAAACATTCCAATTTGCATAGAGTGGTAAAGGTGATAAGGTACCAGCCAAAGTGTCACGTATATTGCTCTTGACTGGTTACCAACTGAATTTTGCCCAGCAAGAAACTACAGAAGCCAAGAAGTGAAGCCGTTATGCAGTAATTTCATTGATTTTATTTCTTTTCCATTTTCTCCGATTTTAGATGGAGGAGAAGTATAGATCGGAGCGAGACCATGCTAAGGCCCAGTTTGCTGAAATGCAGCGACTGGAGAAGACGTCCAAGAGCGACGTTGAGCAAAGTCAGAAGAGGGTAGGAATCCGTTCATTTCCTTCCAAGAATCAGCTAAGCATCTGTTAAAGAATAATCCTGAAGATAAAGTCTTAGTAAATTGTCTTGCCCAAGAACACAAATGCAATGAATTCTTTTGTGGTACTACAATACACATATTCAGGTCTTCTGTACTTTACCAATTTTCTTCTTAGCTTGAGCGGTTCCGGACCCGCATCATGCAGACCACCTTCTCTGCGCCAGGCTTCAAGATGCCGGACCCAGACTCAGCCGTCAGCGACGACACCATCGTGGAGACCATGACCAAGCTGATCGAGGACCGGACGGATGGCAAGAACAAACTCCGTGAGCTGAAGGAGACAAACAAGGCGCTGGAAGCCTACAAGAAGGACTCCAAGACCAACTCCAAGACACTCAAACAGCAGATGGTGGCACTGGAGGTGAGATGATGATTCTAGACAAATCAGTGTCCATTCCAAACAGAAATCTTTGGCTGTGGGGAACCAATAATGGACTCCAGCAAGCTTGGATACATTAGCTTGATGTTCAGCTATTGAACCCCCTACTCTAGCATCCTGGCCAAGTAAATGGACTGTTCACAGAAATTTGACTGTTCAAAATGTATGGTGTTATCGAGATTTGGAAACATAAAATATTTTTGTCATTTTACATGTTGTTTTTCCCTTTTCTTAATATTTGTGCTAATTAAGACAACTATAGTAGGGAAATTATATTTACCAAATTTGAGGGCTTGCTTTGCGAAACAATTTGGCTTACCACATGGGTAAAAAAAAGTAAGTTAAATAAAAAAAAACATTAAAAAAATTGGCCTACCACATGGGTAAAAAAAAAGTAAACTCTAGTGTTTTTTTTTACCGCCTGAGTTACAATTCCCACCATATAACCAATAACCAATAACCAAAGGGTGTGTTTGTTGTCTCAAGTCAAAACTCCCTTCTTACATTCCATGCCCTCGGACATTCTGGGGTATGTGGAAACTGGAATTCAGCTGTGTGTAAACTGAATGCTTCCCAAAACTAGTCCAGGTTTTATGGAGGTTTATTGAACCTTATTACACTTCTAAGCCTCCTACTAATTAAGAGGTCACCAATGGTCAACATTTTCTTCCTCACCTCCTGGCCTACTGTGTACAAACCAATGGGGGTCTTGACCAATATTGACCCAAGTAATAACCAGGCTGACAATGCATGTTTCCATAGGAGGGATTAATGCATAAGCTTATTAGGTTAAAGGAAATAATTTAATTTCATTTGCTCCCCTATAGAAACGTTTGCAAGAGGGAGGGCGGACCTGTACTCACCTGCGCAACGAGATCAAGCTCCTGTCCTCCGTCACCGTGGACGAGAGCCTGCAGGGCGTCAAGGACACGGTCGCTATGATGCTGCAGGATGAGTTGGCATGGCAACAGGAGTATGAGGGCACACTGGAGAAGTGCGGTATCGACGCGGCCACGCCCGGAAAAGGTGCGGTTGATAGAAACGTACCCAAAAATTATTGCTGCAAGTGTAATTACTTAGGTGGTGTGAGCCTTACAGAAATATGCACGCAAGTCTTAATTAAAGGCGCATGTGTCATTTGAAACCTTATTGGTCGAAAAAGGCGTACTAATGCATACGTCATATGCATTCTTACATTGAGGCATGCATGTCTTTTGAAAATCCTATTGGTAAAAGACCCACTGAGTAAGCGTTACAGTCGAATGTTGTTAGTACAGACTCTGTTAATACAAAATTCTGGTTATAACAAACATAAAGCCTTGGTCCCGACTGTGCATTTATGTGCACAATGACTGGGACTGATGTTCCTCTTAATACAAAATTCTGATATAACAAACAATTTGGCTAGGTCCGAACGAGTTTGTATTAACGAGACTCGACTGTATTACCCTGCAGCCACTTTTACTTCACATTGGAGGATTTTGGAGGATACATGAGTATGCATAAAGTAAAACTATAACTGAACATTTTTTTTCTTCCTAGGTCTTGCAGCATTCATCGAGGACCTCAAGTCTAAGAAGGAGAGCGCTCAGAAGGAAGCTGCCGACGTCCAGTCCAAATTTGACAAATTGGAGAAGACGCTGAAGACAGAGACGGGACAGGAGGTGACTCGGCTCAAGACGGAGTATGAGACCAAGCTGGCTGATGTGCTGGAGAAGACTAGGCTGGAAGGTGAGACCAGTGAAGGCTCTTCGACAAGGCTAAGGGGACACCGCCCCCCCCCCAACCCACATTTCAATTTTCCCTTGCACCAAACAGAAGAGTATTAGGAGCAAGTCACATAAACCCCAATAGATCTGTGCTCAACGCAGTTGACTGACTGCACGATTTTCCATTTATTAGACTCTGGAGTCATTCCGAATGACTGCAGAAGTCAATCTTTTTGTTTTGGTCACTCCTAACTGTTTTAAACACAAAACTGTTTTCTGAAGTTCCGATTGTAATAATTTGGTCCGGCAATACCCTGGAACACTACTCTGTAAGAGGTGCTACAACCGGAAGTAAGATTTCAAATCGAATCTGAATGATAAGAGACTCGGTGTAGACTCATCAGCAACAGCAGACTTCAGCAACAGGAGACCAAACTTAAGACCCTCTAAAGTGTCTTGAAGAATCGCTGAAGAAGTACCTACACCAAGATGATACCTGTCGCTACCAAATACCCATAACCCACTAAATGGAATTGACTACTACTTTTCCCTTCACAGCTGAGAATAAACTGCAGACGTCTCTGGAGAAACTCCGTCAGGAGGAAGCTGCCAAGAGAGAGAATGCAGTCAAGGCCGAGCAGGAACGGGTCAAACAACAAGAGGCCAACCTACAAGAGCTCAGACAGGTACATAAAAAAACTAAATTTCGACACCAACATCAGAAGAAGCAGAGGAGTATCAAGAGCCAAACTTCATTGAGCAGTCAAGCAGAAAACTTACGTGCTAAGCAAAAACCACCTCAAAAGCGCACTGTAGCTCACAAGCCTGAAGAAACCTGTGGAGAGAAGACAATGCGAAGAAATTACAGTTTTAGAGGTGGAAGGAAAACTCCAGAATATTGTTCTGGGGGGAAACCCACAAAATCAGGTAGGGACTGAAAACCCAATCCCTTATTGGCCCAGGCTGGATTCGAACCCGGGTCACAGCGGTGGAAGGCGAAGAAAAACCACTGCGACAACCTGACTCCCCAAGTCACAGAGGAGGGGTAGAATTATTGGATTCTTAACAATAAATAATGTTTCCACCTTGGTTCACCATGAAACCAAAGGTACAATGAATATTTGTTTTCTTCCTTTGTAAAATAAGCATGTAAAGAATGAAGTGAGGACACGGAGAAACCAAATTTTCTAGTGACATTCGTATTTCATAGTTTTCATAGTTTTCACTGCGACATTTGATATGCTTTGGGATATTTATTCACAATTTGGATGTTACGCTTTCAGATGTTTACATTTCATTTGACAGGCTTTGACAGAGAAGAATTCAGATGAGGGAAGGCTGCTAGTTCTGGAGAGGCAGCTTGAGACTAGAGCAAAGGAATTCACTGCGACAGAAGTAAGTCAGCCGTCTTAATAGCCACATAGCAAAAATAATTTATAAGCATTAGTTAGTGTATTGTCCCACAATCCGTATCGATAATTTGCCCCCCAAAATGAAAACCTCTTTTTCAGAGGGTTGCAGACACCCCAAAAAGAACAAAAAAAGGATGGTTTTTTGTTGCAATATAAAACAAACAAGCTGAAAATTTATCAGAGGGCCCATGCAATGTTAATTTTTTGATGGAATCTTTGAAATTGCAACTTTGTGTCCCCATTCAACATCATTTTAAATTTTTGTTTTGCCAATTTCAAGGATATTTTGGTGCCTTTTAGGTTTGAATGCTAATGCTGATTTCCATATTCATGAGCAAAAGTGTGATGCCATTCCAGGCAGAAACCTCAATGTTACAGCTATTTCATCACCAAATCTTGCCAGAATTTTTGATATTTTGCTGTCGTAAATTTTCTTTTCTTTGGTGATTTTTTGTTGTGTCAGTACATGGCAGTAAGCCAGCGAGCAAACTTTGCTCACAAATGTTTTTAATGAGCAAATTTTTGGGTTCACAATTTGCACAGAAAACCCCTAAATTGAACACTGTCTTCCTGGAAAGACATCACAGCAACAGCGTCCTCAGTTGTCCAGAAAAGCATGGACATTTGTTAATGTTTTAAAGAAGTGCACTTTTGACCAAGGGATGCAAAATCATGTTCATACATTTAATAACAGTAGAAAGTTGCACAAAATGTGTTCCTATGAAAAGTTCATTGCATGAACATATTAAGTGAGAAAAAAAAAATGATGAGCACGGGGGACGTAGCTTGAAATAAAAAATGATTTTGTCCAATAGGAGAAGCTGAAAGTAGACCTGTCGGCCTTGCGGGAGAAGCACCAATCGGAAGTCAGCACTTTCCAAGACAAGCTGACGGCATCGGAGGACCAGCACAGCAAGGAGACGGTGGCTCTCAGGGAGCAGATCAAGCAGCATTCCCTGACCATCGTCAGCCTGGAGGATAGGATCGTCAAGTCTGGCAAGGACCTGGCCGTGGGACAGGCCAAGGTGGTGGAGCTGCAACAGAAACTCGCTGGTGAGCAACCAAATTCTGATACCATTCTCAGACCTTGAGCCCTGTACGTAATGGAGTACCGAAGTGTGACGTCATTTAGAACCAGAAAGTGTAGTGCAAACGAATGGAGTACACGCGCGTGTTGGTTTGCGGTCTGAATCACGCGCTAATGTCTTTCACACACATTTTGTGCATGTGACGTATTCACTTCGATACTCCAAGATGATCATCATGGAATCTTTTACTGACACCACGAACTGACACTCGATGGTGCGGGAGTGCCCGGCGAGGGCGCATACTTTACAGAACCGCGTTATTTTGGTTTTCACTAACTCACGCCCAATTACTACATGCGCATACTCCGTACTTCTGTTTTCACGACTTGAAACCTGTCTTAATTTCACCAGTTAAAAGGTTTAATTAAATGTTTCTGTAACCCCTCAAGTATGTGGATGGAGAAAATTCGTGCCAAACCTTTCAAAGCGTTTTTCTCTGAATTGCATTTCTGCCACATGCTTGCGCTTCAGTTCGTGAAAACCAAAGTAATTCTATCACGAATCAGTGAATGAGGTGCGCGCACACACCAGCTTGTCAATTTGTGACACCAAAACTATTGATTATGCGGTTTTCATGAACTGAAAGCACACAGTGCGTGCGTGTGTGTTAGCTCGTGAAAACAGTGATGAATTATTAGCTTTGTGTTCCCATTTCCTGAGTTCTCAAGATTTCTGTCCAACTTTTCTGTTGTCCAATCAGAGCAAACTAGGAAGGCCCAGGAGATGCTGTTGAAGTTCCAGCAGCAGGCCAGCAAGCCGGAAATCCCGCCCAAACCCGTCATCATCCAGCAGCCTGCTGCTGACGTCAAGGGCATGGAGCAGCTGATTGGCTTACTCAAGTAGGTTGTCCCTGCCCCCTGATGAATATTCATGAGGTGTTATGAATGCATAGTTTGTGTTGCTGCTAAGGTTGGTTCGTACACCACATCACACAACTGTCGATCTTAAGATAACAGATTGAATTAAAAAAATTTATGTCAGCTTGAGATTTTGTCTTCAGATGATTGTATGAAAGGTTGTGCCCTCACAGCTATAAGATAACTAATAAAATATCAGGCCTTTAGGCCCCCCAAAAAAGTCTCCGGTTTCTGGTATGCGCGCGCGTCGTCGTAGCCATGCGTGTCGGCAAAATGAAAAAGTTTTTTTTCAATGAAAGATGATGTCTCGAAACCGCCAAACTCACTGGTTTGACTGGAATCCTGCTGCTGCACAATTTTAACGTGTTTTTAGATTGGGTTATGGTCGAGAATAAGCTTTATGTGGCCTCTCTGGACTCCTATATATTTGCACTAAGTTTAGTCGGGCACCATTTGCAGTCATCAGCCGACATTTGAAGCAAAAAAAATCAGGTAAAAAAAAAAAAAAGCCGCGTCGCCGCACCACTTTTTGGGCAAGCTCCATACCAGAAACCGGAGACTTTTTTTTTTTTGGCCTTATTTACAAACGTTTGGCTGAATTGTCAAATATAGCACTAAAAAATTAGCAAAACCTTAAAGTTAATGCTAGGAAAAATATTCTACAAATTGCATTTTTCTGAAAAGCTGTTATAACTTAAAATAATTTCCACATAATTTGTTCCACAAATTGTGGAGCCAAGAGCCTTCGCCAGAACTTTTTTACTGCTCTTACTTTTAACCTTCGGTGTGTGAATGAAGCCCCCATCTTTGAACAAAACAAATGAGCTAAATAATTCACAAGGCAAACAAGCTTCAATTTTTTGGCCCGGAGTTACCCAACTATTTGATAAACACTATATCCTCATTGTTGTCTTAGTGCTTGTGAGAAAAACTTCGCAACCTTCTCGGGTGGGAATTGAACCCACGACCCCTGCTTGCTAGTGCAGATGTCTTTACCACTCAACCACATAGGCCAAGTTCGCGCAAGGACTATAGTTGACCAATGGTTAACTAACGTTTGCCCGAACTCTGTCTAGTTGACAGTGGTTGACTACGCTATTCGACGATTTGGAACCAGCCTACTGGGGTTGGTTGCTTCGCTGGTAACCAATAGCCGTGCGCATTCATAACGCAAGCAGAGAGCCAGGATCCAGAAGTTTTGCAATGACATTTTGACCAGCGTTTGACTAGAGACGTTCGCAAGTTGCTATCAGTGCGCAGGCGTAAGGTACGTCACAAATCAACCACTAGTTGACTAATGGTCCTTGCCCGAACTTGGCCCAAGCTTGCCGGAGTTGGCTGGCTGGTTCGAATCTAATGTAGCAGCAGGTACCGCAACCATAAACAAGCTTTTCTCTTCTTTTTTTTTAAGGAAAGACAACAGCAACCTGAAGAAGGAGTTGCAGGACCAGCAGGACATCATCCTGGGCCTGCGGCGAGACCTGGCCGGCGCCGCGGCCAGATTGTCGGACATGACCGGCGAGCTGAACGAGCGACAGAAAGAGGAACTGGAGAACAACCGCTTGCTGGTCCGAGACCAGGAGGCCGAGCTGACCACCCAGCGGCAGCAGCTGGTCAAGCTGTCGGAGCTGGTGGACAAGAAGACGGCCGAAACTGAGCGATTGGTCAAGGATCTGGCGTGAGTTTGGCTTCCTGTTTGTGGGGGTGGGGGAAGGGCTCAAGGGTGTTTTGTGGATGCGTTGAATCTTAGTCTAGACTTTAATTGGAATCCAGTCTTGTGTTTTGAAATTCATAACAAAAATAACCTGTTGAAGTTTTAGATCAGTTGATACTTAGTTTTGAGAGAACAGAAAAGTACCCATTATTAGGGGTCTCATAACTGGATTCCGTTGCAATGCAACTAAACAAAAGTGTGCCCGTGGGCACCCATTTTGAAACCACCTTCAATGTTAGTTTTCTTCCATGCCTTTTTATCCCCCTGGCTGTAAGCTGGAGGGAGATATTGCGATAGCGTATTCCTTCGGTGAGCTTGTCTTACATACGCAGTGTGGACTTCCGAACAAAAGACGTCCACATAATGTAGGTAGCAGCGACGAAGTGTGGACTTGCCCACGTCCACACAGTGTTTCCCCATTTCTGGAAAACAGGTTTAGAGGCATTTTTGGGTTAGGTTTATCTGTAGCAGAATGAAGAGAAACACTAAAGGGAATCATTGAAAAAAAATTGGGTTGTAAGAGTTTTCACAGTTTGAGAAAAATGAGTTTTTCCACTGGTGTTCCTTAACTACACGAAAAGAAAGGAAAGTCCACACTAGGTATGTGAAACAAGTCTGGGTGTGTATGTCTGTGCATGGTATTGTAGGGATTAGTTATACTGTCCTACTTAACTCTGAGTTTATTGAAAGTTAAATGACTCACCAGCTTGAAGTATATACAAACAACCAAAACTGGGCTGAGTCCATGCACAACTGGGCAACTGCTCGCGCCGTGAATGCGGGGCGAGTTGGTTTTAACTCACGTGGTGAATACTCACACAATGTTCAGTCAATAAACACTCACAAAAGTCCACGAAAGAAGCTTGGATTGCTCACAGGATTAGCTCTGCCGACATTTACTAACTCATGTAAAATATAGTGTTGATTCTAGCTTGTAACTTCCAAGCGAAAGTATAGGAAATGCACTGTAAAAATTGCGTGTGTGACAAAAAATTGTAGACGAACGATAATGAAACAACATGAAAAAATGAATGCACAATGGTTGACCTTTGAACTAACATATGTACAAGATGCGTTAAAGGCGCAGTCTGAAACTTAAAGGGAACGTTACAGTATGCTTGTGCTTGTTTATGATGTAAATTGAGGACACACACGTGCAACATCATCGCTGAATCGAGGACAGAGACCGAATCGAGGACTCCTCGGTTGGAAAATGTGTACAAAACCAATGAGAGCTGTTGCGAAAAAATTTAAAGTGCAAACAAAGGAAAAGGGAGGAGGAACAAATAAAAATCCTCGATTCACACCATAAACAAACGTGCTTGTGCGTGCGTATGAGTTTGTCTTACATTCACTATGTGGACTTGTGAACAAAAGATGTCCACATAATGCAAGTTGTGTTGACGTTATGTGGACTAAGCCGTGTCCACATAACGTTTTGCCCTCTCTGGAAAACAGGTTTAGAGGCATTTTTGGGTTAGGTTTATTGGTGGCAAAATGAAGAGAAACACTAAAGGGCATCATAGAAAAAAAATTGGGTTGAAAGAGTTTTCACAGTTAAAGTAAAGTTATTTTTTGTACCGAGTTTTCTTAACTACACGAAAACAAAGGAATGTCCACATAGCGTATGTAAAACAAACGTGGGTGTCTGTGTGTGTGTTATATTTTGGTTAGGTTCTTGTTTATAGGTGGAATAATTTCACAGGGTATTTGATGCCAGCCCTGTCTTCACTTTGAGCAAAGTTTCTGTTCTTAAATCATCAGGTTATTTTTCTGGTAGTGGCATTAATTTTCCTGACCAAATTTCCCCTCACCAAAAACGACTGTGTTTTTTAATCCGTCAGTGCTCAGAAGGAGTTTGTGTCCAAGCACAAGCAAGACACGTTGATGAGAGGAGACGAGCTGGCTAAGCTGCAGCTCCAACTGGGCCAGGAACAGGAGAACAGCAAACGGGCCCTGGAACAGGTGCAGCAAGAGGTGAGCAGCGCTGACTGGATTGGCTTGATGCCCCCATTGCTGGCCCTTTGGTGGGCTGGCTGCAGCCTTCCCCTAGCTAGGTCCCCTAGCTAGGTCCCCAGCTTAGTGTCAGTTTTCTTAATGACATAGTCCAGACCTTCATCTCGCGCAAATACTCATGCAATTGAAAATACTCGTTCAGTCCAATGTGAATGAGCAAATGACACAGACCGATCAGTCAGGTTATCAGCATGGAGAAGTAGGAATTCAACGTATTATTTAATTGGGTCAATAGACTTTTATCATGCTGCCACCATTTCAGTCATGTTCCCTCTATCAAATAACAGTAGTGAATGATAATGTTTTTTGTGCAAAAAGGAACCAGACTGTTTTTCCTTCCAGCCTCGTTTGTTACTTTGATTTGAATGGGAAAATATCAAGATAGCCGCAACATGATAATGGTCTGAAGAACTTTAAGAGGTCACAAAAAAGTAGGTCTTAATTTGGCTCTGAAGACACACACATTTACACCTGACGACGAATGTTAAATCTGATATTAGTATTTCTTCATCAAATAATAAACCCTCCAGCCTAGTTCCTTGGCTCATTTTTCTCTGAAAATGTATATAATAATTCAAAAATAAAGAGGTCTCAACAGTTCTTGAGTAGGTCTTGACTGCAACAGAGTTTTTAAGGGCGGGCTTCAGTATGGACTGCATACCAAGTCTGCCGAGTCTGTAATGAAAATTCTTTCTTTAGTTACCACTTTGACAGTAAGCCTTGAAGGTTAAATGGACCGATCCAGTAGCACCACCCCATGCTATTCTGACCAATCACAGCCATGATTTAGGTCCGACGTGCGTGCACAAAAGTCCGACATGCGTGCGCGTGCACGCGCGTATGATGCGCGTGGCAGGAAAATGCAGTGTGGCATTGGAGAGGAGCACGTGTTAATTTGCCCACGTGTGCAGTGGGCGGGGCTTACTGGATCGGTCCATTGCATCAATGGTAGGGGTGTGCATTTACAGGTAGTACAGGAACCAGGCACCTAATATTACCACATCGGGGCATCAATACAGCAAGCTACAAGTGTGTACAGTGAGCTTATATAGCTTCACGTTGTAAACTGCAGCTTTCGCGAGTGTCATAAACGTGAAATACGTTTTGTTTTCCCATGTGGCCTGGTTTTCATTTTGAAAATTCCTCACAAATGATTTCAAAACCTTTCTTTTTCATTGTCTGAGGAGTAACTAAGTAATTTGTCAAGTTGGTTACGGGTACCCGATCCCAAAATCTACCGGTAGAATCGGTTCCTGACATTAACGGTTGGGTACTTGGGTACCCGGTTCCGATGCACAGTCCTAATCAATGGACTTTGGTTATGCTAATTTCACTCCCCACTCCCAAGGTTATTATCCAGGAGCAAATCTCACTTCAATAAAAGGCCTCATTAACTTATTCAGGCATTTCAGAACATTGGTATCCAGACATGGTCAGTCCTTATTGACACTCTGTAGAATTCTGATAATTGTTTCCTTGTTTTGTTTTCTTGCAGGGTATGATCACCAGCGAGATGTCTGCCTTCGGAGCCCAGTGTAGGGGAGAGAGACACGAGCAGGTTATCGCCAGACAACGAGAGGCCCTGGCAGAGCTGAGATCACGCATCAAAGGAATTGAATCCAACAGACCACCACGTACGTTTTACTTTTACTCTGCTCCGTGCTGACAAACTACTGAAAGAAAGCCACATTCGCTGAGTATTGCAAGCGTGAATTTTAGAGCTGGTCACTATTTCAGCATTTTGACAGCTGCTTTATCCATGCTGTCCTGAAAAGTCCTTAAGTTTCTTCTTGCCAACAAACTATTCAGGAAAACTTTAGGTTTGGATAAAAAAAACCACCTGTTACTCTGTGTACTGTTATTCCAATAAAATTGTTTTCATCATGAAACAGACACAAAGGTTGAAATATACCAATGCTCTAGGAACAAGGAGCTATTGAAAATTAATTTATCTGTCACTTGGTGAGGCAAGTTTTTTTATTCGGGTTTTTTTTATGACTCAATTAGAACCTTGTAGTTCAATTGAAAAAGTAGAAATTTAACTTCAAATTATTTAAGGGGAGGGAGGGGTTGACACACCCAACGGTTTCAATACACCATCTTTGAAATCATTGAAATCGTAAATTGATGGGTAACGACCCTGGCAAGCTTGATGAATGAGTGGTCTTAGGGCCAGTTTATACACACACAAAAATGGAGCGACAACAATGTTGCGCTTTATTACGCACAAATCAATGAGCAAAAAAGTGCACAACTTTGTTGCTTAAATGTAAATACACCATTTGATTTGTGTGTATTTATAACCACGCGTGACTTTATTTGTGCGACAAATTGGCATTTAGACATCTGGACTAGTATTAGCAGAAGGTCATGGGTTTAAGTGCTGACGGCATAAACCTTACAATTTTTTTCTCGTGGCTCCGGAACATCTTGAACTTTTAACATTACATTGGTAGAGGGCAAAATGTAATATGAAAATGATTATCAGTCATAATTTTGACTTGACCCACGTATTGGTTTTTTTGTCTTCAGTGCCGACCCAAGACCAGGCCCTGCAGCAGGTCATCCTCCTCAAGAAAGAGCTGGCCGAGATGCGAGCCAAGCAGGCCCAGATTATGGACCAGAGCCAGCCGGGAGGGATGGGTGGAGGCGGGGCTAACCCGGAGGCCGTGCTGGACAGGGAGGTGGCCAAGGCCCGGGGCCAGATCTCCACGGCGTCTTCAGATGCGGCCATCGAGAGGAGCGCTCGCATCGAGATGCAGCAGGGTCTGGAGATCAGCGAACAGGCGGTCAGTCATCTCATACCAGCATTCAAGTCAAGTCCATTACAAGTCCATCACAAGTCTTGTTGCTTTTGTCACAGATCAGCTTGTGACTTGACTTTTGACTGGAGGACTTGTGAGGACTCGTTATTGATTCAACTAAAATCACGTTTGTTTTCACATCGTGTACGGCGTGAAGATTTACCTACCTACAGCCGATGGGTTTTAGATATAGTCGGGCTGGCTTGAATGAATGCAGTCCTTATCAGCGGTCATTTCAGATTTTTTTTTGTAAATGCTAATGAGTCCTTCAAGCGTTTACTCAAAAAAATTGTGCATTCTAGAAGACATTTTAGTCTCCTAAGTAACTTTCAGTTTTCACCCAATGACCGCCACAAAATTGTTTCATAAATGTTTGCCTTTGTATGAGTACATCGAGTTCTGTTTAATAGTCCACATGTATTTTAGATTTTCAAAAGTGAGAGGTCATTTTTTGGCACAATATTTCTCTTTCACATCCGGCCATTTTTTTCAGTTTCCATAAATTGAGATGCTAGTAACAGTTTTGCAAAGGCCTTTTTTCGACAGTGATTTTCTTAAGAAATCAAAGTACCCAAAATAAGCGCAAATTTTAGAAGTTTGGCACGTTAATTTTCCTACACAAGGGTTCTGGAAGCACGCCACCGGGGTGAACGTTCAGGCTCTATTATCTTGGTCTTCATGTAACATGATAACGATTGACAAAACCATAGCTCTTGACACCTGTTTCGGACACGTCCTTACGATTTTATTCTCTCAAATGTGTTTCACAGTACCTCAAGCTGACCCAGTCGGTGGCCAACCTCCTGAGCCTGGGCGAGGTGGCTGGCCAGGATTCCATGGGCCATCTCCCCAAGGACGAGCGAGACAGGCTAGCCGAGGAACGAGCCAACACCCAGGAGCTGATCGCCAGCCGGCTGCGGACGCTGAACCAGCGGCTTGATCGCAAGGACGAGCTCCTGAAGGACTACGAGAAGGACCTGGAAAAGCTGCGATTGGCCGAGCGGCTAGCCAATGAGAAGGCGACACAGGTGGAAGCACTGGCTGTAAGTCTTCAGAGTGTACAGTTTAGAAGTCAAGACTTTTCCAAGACCTTCCAAGACCTTTCATTTTTGATCAATTTTTGATAGTTTTGGGATAGCCTATAGATCTTCATTAAACCTCCTAGTTTTTTTGCACTTTACAACCTTTCAAGTTTTGCAAAACCACTTTTGCTCAAAGAGGTAGCACCCACACTTCAAATTCCCTAGAAGTAATCTTCCGTGGAGTTTGGATAACACTGAACAATTCTTTGGTGGCGATTAAGCTCAGGGCAACGAGGCAGATTCGGTCGCCCTTCATTGCTCTCCGCAGTGCTATTTTTTGTTAATTGACTCTCTGTGTGACACTTCATATCCCTTCCTCCGAAACTAACCTGTAGTGTTTTGAAGGGTTTACCTCTGGCTCTGAATATTGACTTCCAGGGTTCGACCTTAACTTTTTTGTTCACTAGCCAGCCGGGCTACTGAAAAAGACTCTTAACTAGCCCGGGGGCATTGTCACTAGCCTGCATTGTTTTTTTAGCTCAAATACAAAATGCCGTATTTTCAGGCTCAATTCTAAGGCAATTTTGTCAGTGTTTTAAATAAACAGATCTCATTTAACCCTTTAAAACAGTTGATAAAATGAGACAAATTGATGAGGTTTGCTTTCTGAATTTAATGATTTATTTCTTCCTGTCCGTTCATCTTTGCCGTAGCCCAATAATTTTGAATCGCCAGCCGGGCTTCTTAACCCTAACTTTTTTGCTAGGAAGTAGCCTCAATCCTGCAAAATCCTCCAATTGGCCTCATGGAAATATAGCATATAGCCTCAATCCTGCAAATTCCTCCACTATTTCTTGAATATGGTCCATGGAGGGGTGACCACTGCCTGAATCCTGCAAAATCCTCCGGCTATGACTGTCAATAGGCTGAAGCAGAGGCAGTGACATCCTGGAGCAGTGCGGAGGATGTCAAGTATAATCAAGGACTAAATTTATGCACGGCTGAGCATAAACAACACAAGGTCCGGCCCAAGACCGTGACACAGTGCGTACTCCGAAATCAGCAACGCACTTTTGCCATGTAACCTTATTCCTGCAAATTCCTCCAATTTGCAAAAAGGATTTTTGGAGGATTCAGGGCGGTTAGGGTTAAGGAATAGTGTGACTAGCCCGTCGCTGTTTTGACTAGCATTTGGCTAGCGGGCTACCGCTAATTTCAAACCCTGACTTCCTGCTAGGAGGGTAAATCGTTGAAGGGATTGCGTTTTTTGTTTCAGAATGATCTTCGCGGCAGGACAGAAGAGGCTCACTACCTCCGGGAGACGTTGAGACGGACTAGGGAGGGGCTTGACCAGGAGAAACGGCTGAACCGAGCCATCAAGAACAAAAAGGTAAAAGGCAAATGCCAAAAACAACGAGGGAAATTAACAAATTGTCTCAACATCATTGGATAGAAGAAAATGTGGGTTATAAACTTTGGATGATAGAACTCCAGAAACTTTGAAGAATTTTGAATCCTCGATGCTGTCTGATACCTGACGATGGATCGTGTTTGAAGCGGAATAACTGATCCAGCCATTTGCACTGAATGTGTTTACGAAGTTGGGTATTTTTCATGTTGGATATTGTATTTATTGCATTCCTCCCCCCCCCCCCCCCACCAGTGGTGATGTGTTTAGCTTCTGACTGTAAACACACGTAGCACATGTATGTCCGCACATGTTTGTTTATGGTGTAAATCAAGGATTTTCTATTGTTCCTCTTTCCTTTTCCTTTCTTTATACAGCTCTCATTGGTTTTGTACACGTTTTCTAATCGAGGTCGTCCTCGATTTGGTTCCTGTCCTCGATTTACATCATAAATCTATTCTAAGTGTTCCAAATTAGCTTCTCTGAAGAAAAAAAAAATATCAGTAAAGAAAACCAACATGTTCTTGTGAGTGACCGCAAACGTGATTGCATGTTGTGCCAGTTCCCACAATAATGTACAAATTTTTTTTATCAACAGACGTTTCACTTAGAGAACGATGCCAAAAACAGCAAGCAGACGTGGCCTAAGCACAACTGCTACGAGGACGAGGTGACCAAGATGAAGGTGGGTTGTTATTATCATTATTATTATTAATCATTTCTGGTAAACCAAGGATTCCTCAAAAGTACCCTAGGGACTGTAACTCGCAAGCCTGAAGAAACCTGTGGAGAGAAGACAGTGAGAAGAAATTACAGTTTTAGAGGTGGGAGGAAAAGCCCAGAAGAATATTCTGGGGAAAACACACGGAATCATGCAGGGACTGAAAACCCAATCCACATATTGGCCCAGGCGGGATTCGAACCCGGGTCACAGCGGTGGAAAGCGAGGAAAGAACCGCTACGCCAGCCTGACTGCTAAGTCCAATCAATAAACCTCAAGGCTCTTGGGAGTATGTCTATTTGGTTGAGAAGCATAACGCATGTGAACCAGCTAAATTCAAGCATGTGAACCAGCTAAATCCAACTGCTGTTTGCTCAAGCTGTCATGTACCTAGCATAAAGAGCGCCCTCACAAGTTCAAGCACGGAGTCATAAACTCTAAATAATTGGGTAGTTTGTGATTTTTTTGTTTCCATTTGCAGAAAGACTCAAAGAAGAAAACTCAAAAGGAGAAGATGCTTCGGAAGAGCTACGAACTGGAGAGTCTTAAAGCTGTAAGACAACAGATTTAATCATTTTATATTTCAAAAGCATAATACAGTCGAGCCCCGTTAATACAAACTCAGCTAGACCTAGCCTAAATGTTTGTTATATCAGAATTTTTGTATTAAGAGGACCAATGGTCACATTCATTGTGCACATAAATTCAGTCGAGACCAAGGCTTTTTGTTTGTTATAACCAGAGTTTGTGTTAATAGTGTTTGTATTAACGTGAGTGGACTGTATTTCACTCTTTGTGTACCATGAGCTGATACGTCCAATGAGAATCATGAGCCAGTTTAAAGGGAATATACATTATTTGCTTTTGCTGTAATTTTCAGAAATGGATGGAATGGGGGGGGGGGTTGGAAATACATAGCAAATATAGTTACACTGACTTTTTTGAGGTTTTGGGTTCAAAAATGCTATAAAAACCAAGAAAAACAATCATTTTCCTGTAGTCTGGTTCCCTGACTCCATTTAAGAAGAAACAGAGCAGTTTACATACATTGGGGAATTGTAAGGTCAGGGAACCAGTCTAGCTGGCTTGTACCCGTTCATAGGTGTGTAATCGATTGCAAACAAGTGCGATGGTCAATTGGGGCCAGTATTTGAAAAAAAAGCCAGTTTTTTCCAACGCTGGTCGGCCGAACAGCGTTGGAAATTGATACAAAAATACCACTTTCCTTGAAAATGACAGTATACCAGGTGCCATGATTTTACAGGATGCTTTACACTGTCATTCACTAACAGTCCAGCAAGGTATTTCAAAATGATTTGGTAGTTTTATTTTTTGATGTTTGCAAATGTTGTATTTTCCCTTTAAGCTCATTTTAAAAAATTGCATGTAAAATTCAAGCTCTTTGTCTTCAGCAATCCAACATATTGACTTGAAATGCCCAGAAATGGATATCAAAATCTGAAAAATGTGTTACTTTTTATAATTGTCAGATAATAGCATTTGAAATTTCTTTTATAATACGTAATACAAGAACATTCTTTCAGGAAATTATATTTTTTATTTTTATATGTTTATGCAGGAATTAAGTGAGAAGGATCAACAGCTGTGTGACACAACAGCCAAGCTGATCAACTTGGAACACGCTGTGGTGAGTCTGGCTGACGCTCCCTAATGAATATTCATTTTTGAGGATCAAATGAATATTCATTTTTTGCCCTAAAATTCTTCTTTTTTTTTTTTTATGGGAACGTAGCTTATTTCTAAGGTGTAGTTGTGTGAATGTTCGTATTCTACTTTGTAACCATCTTTCCAGATATTATCGTGGAAAAATGTAATATTTATAGAAAATTCCATTTTCGTGCACATGTGGGTGCTTTCTCCTGAAAGTGCTTTTTTAAATGTTCAAGGTCTGCGAGAGGCTTCCGTAGATGTTTGACTCCTGTTGTTTACTTCTTTTTCTCTGCACAGGCAATCAGCTGAGCTTGAAAACGGACCGTTCCATTTCTGGGATTAGGGGAGGACAGTAAAGCACTGATGCAGCAATCGATGAGTATTATGCAAATATGCACTAAGCCTTTACAATCTGTAAATATGTCAGATTCATAAACATTATGAAAAGTTAGATACATTTTTATGAATTATTAAAGTTATTTTGGGGTTTAAAAGAAAAGTACAGATTCTTTTGAAAGGTGAATGCTAGGTAGAATAGAGAAAATCAAATTTGAGAAATATAGTAATGCTTGTTTCTTTTGGTAAAGATGGAATTTTTGCTTTCTTTGTAAATTTGTAAGTGATGTCAATGTTGAGAAAAAAGTATTGCAGAATTATCTTCAGAGGTAAAACACAAATTCATTCATTCTTTTACCTTTGGCCGCTTTTGATTGTAAATAGCTATGTAAATCAAATAGGAAACAAATTGTTTGTGCTAAAAATCAAGTTATAGAGTAAATTAATTTAATGTGAGCTTTTTCTCAAAAAAAGGACTACATGTTTTCTTCAATTCGTACTCGCACGAAATTTGATATGCACGAAAAAACACACATAGATTATGCTTTAATTTCACAATCATGGTCTGTAAAATATTTTTATCCTGAACTTTTCCACATTTTTCGGTGCATGCTGTTTCTAACAAGTAAATACTCTATCAAATTTGATTCATGTCGGAAAAAGGTTTAGACAAATCTACGCAAAGAATCAGAGTTAACTTTAATATAAAAAAAAAGTTTTGAGGAGTTTCTTTAGTTCACCCTCAAAAACTTTTGAAACTTGAAATAAGAAAAGTTGTGCGCACTGGAAGATAGGTATTTTATAAATACACTTTCTCATGTTCTTTTTTTCACAATAGGCTGAAAGTTTGTACTGTAATTCCGCAATGTGTGTTTTTGATGTTTGTAAATAGATAAAGCGTAAAGCCCAAATTGTAAATTTAAAAAAGGCTTTTTTAATGCTGTTGGAAGATATGTTAATGTTAGTGGGCATTGACATTCAAAACTATTTGCAATTGTACCACACATACTAAAGACAAGTTTCTACAAAAACTTGTTTTCTACAAAAACTTGTCATGGCAGTGCGCTGGTCCCTGAAGCAAGATGAAAAAAAAATCCAATCCGGGGAAGTTTGGCAGCGCTACCCAGATAATCTGAGCATACCTCATGCGCGTGAATGACCTTGAATACAATAGCGTGCAAAAACTTGTCATGGCAATGCGCTGGTCCCTGAAAGCAAGATGAAAAAAAATCCAATCGGGGGAAGTTTGGCAGCGCTACCCAGAAAATCTGAGCATACATCATGCGCGTGAATTACCTTAAACACAACAGCGTGCAAAACTGTATACATTCTCCAAATCATGGAGCTACAGTCGAACACCTTTGTAATAAGGTCCATGGGACTTCACAAATTACCTTGTTATAACAGGCACCATGTATTATTACAGTAATGGAAAACAAAGAATAACAAAGACCTGGGATCTGAAATGAATAAACAGTGCTCTTCTTATCAGGGTTCGACTGTATTTAAATAATGGACAAGATGGCGGTTTTCGAATTCCCTTCTATTTTTTAGTGCAATGTGAGTAAATAATTATGAAGTAGCATTTTGTGTTAGTCGGTTCACAATCTTCTCGGATCTTAAATCATGAGGCTTCTGTCAGTAAAATGCTGTTATTGAAATTTAGATCGATTTTGTGTCCCATTTAATACCGTTGTGTTAATTTTTTTCCCCTGACATGCAGCGAATTGACATGCGCTTTAAAAAAAAAATTGAAATCCTCCAGAAAAAAAAAGCTGGAAAACTTGCTTTGCGTCGAGGAAATGAAGATGCCTTTTCACACTTCTCTCAATAAGTACATCTATAGGCCTACTGAATTGAAATTTGTCAGTTTTTAATATCCTGCTTTAGAATTATTTTTTTTGTTTCTTGAATCGGTCCAAAGAAAAATCTGTTACCGAGAGGGTTTAATCTCGCGGTGATTGAGAAAGAATGTTCATAACACAATGTATATAACTTCATTCCGATCGTATTGTACTTTGTCATCAGCTGACTTGGAAAGTCGTTTGGGAGGCAACAACTCCAGAAATTCAAGATGTTTTAAATTGAATTTTCGTCTAGTGATTTGCCATCATGTTTAAACATTACCAGATTTAATTTCATAAGGAACCGTCAAACAATGAAGCAATATTGACTGTAACAATACACTGAGTGTTCTTTTAAGCGGCGACAAATGCTATCCGAATGAAAATCAATGTGTATTTTTTCGCGTGTAAATCACTACATTGTTACGATCATATTATTTTTATCGTTGGACTTTTTCTCATGATATTCCATACACCTCTGTTACACATCCTGGAAATTAATTGCTCGGAATTTCAGTTTAAAACATCTTGTATTTCTTGAGTTATTGATCGGAAACTGAGTTGTTAGTTTTGTTCAATAGTCGCAGCATCCGCACAAATATTCTTTCAATAGAGGGCGCGCCACATAAATAGTGGTCTCGATAATTATCCACCACCAAACTCGTTTGGGGGGCAACAACTCCAGAAATATAAGATGTTTTGAATTGAATTTTCGTCTAGTGATTTGTCATTATGTTTAACCTTACGAAATTTAATTTCATAAGAAACCGTGAAACAATGAAGCAATATTGACCGTAACAATACAGTGTTTTAAGCGGCGACAAATGCAATCCGAATGAAAATCAATGTGTATATTTCGCGTGTAAAACACTACATTGTTACGATCATATTATTTTTATCGATGGACTGTTTCTCATGATATTCAATATCCCTCTGTTACACCTCCTGGAAATTAATTGCACGAAATTTCAGTTTCATACATCTCGTATTTCTTGAGTTATTGATCGGAAACTGAGTCGTTATTTTTGTTCAATACGGTACAGCATCCGCGCCAATATTCTTTCAATAGAGGGCGCGCCACATAAATAGTGGTCTCGATAATTATCCACCGCCAAACTCGTTTGGGGTGCAACAACTCCAGAAATACAAGATGTTTGAAATTGAATTTTCGTCTAGTGATTTGTCATCATGTTTAAACATTACCAGATTTAATTTCATAAGAAACCGTCAAACAATGAAGCAAAATTGACCGTAACAATACAGTGTTCTTTTAAGCGCGACAAATGCAATCCGAACGAAAATCAATTGTTCGCGTGTAAAACACTACATTGTTACGATCATATTATTTTCATCGTTGGACTGTTTCTCATGATATTGAATACACCTCTGTTACACTTCCTGGAAATTAATTGCACAAAATTTCAGTTTAATACATCTCGTATTTCTTGAGTTATTGATCGGAAACGGAGCTTATTTTTGTTCAATAGTGGATCCGCACCAAATGCAATCCGAATGAAAATCAATGTGTATTTTTCGCGTGTAAAACACTACATTGTTACGATCATATTATTTTTATCGTTGGACTGTTTCTCATGATTTTCAATACACCTCTGTTACACTTCCTGGAAATTAATTGCACGAAATTTCAGTTTAATACATCTCGTATTTCTTGAGTTATTGATCGGAAACTGAGTTGTTATTTTTGTTCAATAGTGCATCCGCACCAAATGCAATCCGAATGAAAATCAATGTGTATTTTTCGCGTGTAAAACACAACATTGTTACGATCATATTATTTTTATTGTTGGGCTGTTTCTTATGATTTTCAATACACCTCTGTTACACATCCTGGAAATTAATTGTACGAAATTTCAGTTTAATACATCTGGTATTTCTTGAGTTATTGATCGGAAACTGAGTTGTTATTTTTGTTCAATAGTGCAGCATCCGCACAAATATTCTTTCAATAGAGGGCGCGCCACATAAATAGTGGTCTCGATAATTATCCACCGCCAAACTCGTTTGGGGGGCAACAACTCCAGAAATACAAGATATTTTAAATTGAATTCGTCTAGTGATTTGTCATTATGTTTAACATTACGAGATGTAATTTCATAAGAGACCGTGAAACAATGAAGCTATATTGACCGTAACAATACAGTGTTTTAAGCGCGACAAATGCAATTCGAATGAAAATCAATGTGTATTTTTCGCGTGTAAAACACTACATTGTTACAATCATATTATTTTTATCGTTGGACTGTTTCTCATGATATTCAATACACCTCTGTTACACATCCTGGAAATTAATTGCACGAAATTTCAGTTTAGTACATCTCGTATTTCTTGAGTTATTGATCGGAAACTGAGTTGTTATTTTTGTTCAATGGTGCAGCATCCGCACCAATATTTTTTCGATAGAGGGCGCGCCACATAAATAGCGGTCTCGATTAATTTCATAAGAGACCGTCAAACAATGAAGCAATATTGACCGTAACAATACAGTGTTTTAAGCGCGAAAAAGCAATCCGAATGAAAATCAATGTGTATTTTTCGCGTGTAAACACTACATTGTTACGATCATATTATTTCTATCGTTGGACTGTTTCTCATGATATTCAATACACCTCTGTTACACATCCTGGAAATTAATTGCACGAAATCGCAAGGGCAAATCCGAAGGGGGGGGGGGCAAAGGGGGCCATGCACCCCCCCCCCCCCCCAAAAAAAAGGGGGCAAAGGGGGCCATGCGCCCCCCCCCCCCCCCCAAAAAAAAAACGAAACCATTTTTATTTTATGTGACATCGCAATAAAGGCAGGCCACCATCGCAATAAAGTACACCACCATCTTTCCCTCAAAAAAACATTGGTTAAAGTGGTCAGAAATTGCCTCAGATCGCACCACATAGCATCTATAGAATCCAATTTTTTCCTGAACCCCACGCCATAATTTTTTTGACCCACTTTTTGTAGGGGACCAATAAAATGTTTTGGCCCCCCAAAAATTGTGTTCTGGATCCGCCCTTGCGAAATCTCAGTTAAATACATCCCGTATTTCTTGAGTTATTGATTGGAAACTTACTTGTTATTTTTGTTTAATAGTGCAGCATCCGCACCAAATGCAATCCGAAATGAAAATCAATGTGTAAAACACTACATTATTACCATCATATTATTTGGCGATAGGATGCAGTCCCAGTCAAAACAGACCATTTTCCTCACTTTTTGCTCGAAAACGATAGTCCTTGAGGACAAACTATCTCAAAAATTAAGTAGTGCATTAAATTGAACTGTGGCCAGGTGATTTATCATGAAAAATAGACAACTTAGACAGAAGATTTAGACAAAATATTGTTTTTCTCTCCCTCAACAGTGTCTTGTGTCAACGCAGAGAAAAAGTTGGCGAAAGGATGCAGTCCCAGTCCAAACATACCATTTTCCTCACTTTTAGCTCGAAAACGATAGTCCTTGAGGACAAACTATCTCAAAAATTAAGTAGTGCATTAAATCGAACTGTGGCCAGGTGATTTATCATGAAAAATAGACAACTTAGACAGAAGATTTAGACAAAATATTGTTTTTCTCTCCCTCAACAGTGTCTTGTGTCAACGCAGAGAAAAAGTTGGCGAAAGGATGCAGTCCCAGTCCAAACATACCATTTTCCTCACTTTTAGCTCGAAAACGATAGTCCTTGAGGACAAACTATCTCAAAAATTAAGTAGTGCATTAAATCGAACTGTGGCCAGGTGATTTATCATGAAAAATAGACAAATTAGACAGAAGATTTAGACAAAATATTGTTTTTCTCTCCCTCAACAGTGTCTTGTGTCAACGCAGAGAAAAAGTTGGCGAAAGGATGCAGTCCCAGTCCAAACATACCATTTTCCTCACTTTTAGCTCGAAAACGATAGTCCTTGAGGACAAACTATCTCAATAGTTAAGTAATGCATTAAATTGAACGGTGGTCAGGTGATTTATCATGAAAAATAGACAAACTAGACAGAAGATTTAGACAAAATATATTTTTTTTCTCCCTCAACAGTGTCTTGTGTCAACGCAGAGAAAAAGTTGGCGATAGGATGCAGTCCCAGTCCAAACATACCATTTTTCTCACTTTTTTCTCGAGAACGATAGTCCTTGAGGACAAACTATCTCAAAAATTAAGTAATTCATTAAATTGAACTGTGGCCAGGTGATTTATCATGAAAAATAGACAAACTAGACAGAAGATTTAGACAAAATATTGTTTTTCTCTCCCTCATCAGTGTCTAGTGTCAACGCAGAGAAAAAGTTGGCGATAGGATGCAGTCCCAGTCCAAACACAATATTTCTCACATTTTGCTCGAGAACGATAGTCGTCGACGACAAACTATCTCAAAAATTAAGTAGTGCATTAAATTGAACGGTTTCCAGGTGATTTATCATGAAAAATAGACAAACTAGGCAGAAGATTTAGACGAAATATTGTTTTTCTCTCCCTCAACAGTGTCTTGTGTCAACGCAGAGAAAAAATTGGCGATAGGATGCAGTCCCAGTCCAAACATAACATTTTCCTCACTTTTTGCTCGAAAACGATAGTCCTTGAGGACAAACTATCTCAAAAATTAAGTAACTCATTAAAATTGAATTGTGGCCAGGTGATTTATCATGAAAAATAGACAAATTAGACAGAAGATTTAGACAAAATATTGTTTTTCTCTCCCTCAACAGTGTCTTGTGTCAACGCAGAGAAAAAGTTGGCGATAGGATGCAGTCCCAGTCCAAACAGACCATTTTCCTCACTTTTTGCTCGAAAACGATAGTCCTGCTGGGCAAACTATC